GCCTAACCCTCGAGCGCCCCTGATCCTCCATTCCGCACGACCCTGACACCCCAGCAGAGGCGTACCTAACCCTCCAGCGCCTGGAATCCTTCACCCCTGACCCTCCACGGGACACCCGCCTAATCCTCCAGCACCCCTGATCCTCTATCCGGCGCGTGCCTAACCCTCTGGCGCCCCTAATCCTCCATCAGACACGTCCCTGACCCTCTATCGGGTGCGCGCCTAACCCTCCAGCACCCCGTATCCTCCATCGGTCACGCCCCTGACCCTCCACCAGACACAGGCCTAATCCTCCAGCACCCCTTATCATCTATCGGGCATGCTCCTAACCCTCCAGCACCCTGACCCTCCATCGGGCGCACCCCTGACCCTGCACTGGGTGCACGCCTATTCCTCCAGCATCCCCAATCCTCCGTCAGGCGCACCCTAGCCTCCTAATGCCCCTGATTCTCCATCGGATATGGGCACGCCCCTGACCCTCTCTTGTGCGCTTCTCCCCTCTCCCGCATGCTGTTCTGGCTTCCCCCAACTCTTCCCCCTACGCCCCCCTTCCCCCACACCCCCCGTTCGACCCTTCCCCCTCAACCCTCCCGAACTCGACCTTCCCCATGCTTTCACATCCCGCTCGCTCAACACTTACCCCCACTCCCCCACCCTTCCCCCTCAACCCCGCGCTCGACCCTTCCCCTACCCCCGGGCTCGACTACTGCTCCCCACCCCCAGCGCTCGACCCCTACTCTCCCCCCCACCGCGCTCGACCCCCACTCCCCACCCATCCCACCCACACACCCATTCCCCTCCCCCGCCCGCGATCAACCCCTACTCCCTCTCCCAGCACTCTGGCCACATCCCGAGGGTCAGCTCTTTTCTGCAGGTGCTTGTCTTTAATACGAAACATGACTCCTCTATTTCTGATTTAAGCACCACCTGAAGTGTTTTTCAGCATTAACTCTGACTCACAAAACACAAGAGCCGTCATAGCCCCACACTCCTTCAGTTTCCTCAATTAACAACTGCTCAGAAAACGGGGTTGCGGGGCCCAGGAGACGGTGACAAAGTTGCTCATTAGCCTGGCCCTTCCGTTAGCAGAGCTGTTCCCAGTAAGCTGAGGAACAGGGCCAGAGTCAGGCGGGCTAAGCCCAGACAGGAGGATAGGAGGTGCCCAGGGCAGGAAACAGCCTGGCCTCTTGCAAGTTCAGTTGCTTAGAGAGAGGTCCTCGGAGCTGTGATGGTGTAAGGAGGGAGAGACTGCGGACCTGCCAGAAGAAGCTTCTGTAGCTACCGATAGGAAACAACACAAATGCAGCCAATGAAATGTGAGCTGTAAATATCGCATTTACATGTGTATCATGTACTAAAAAAAAAAAACTATCATGTAATTTTATAGTGACAGGTCAAATGCCGCACCTGGATCTCCAGCATTCTCAAGGAACTAAGATGTGCATATATACAGACCAACAGGGGTGCAGATCAGTTAGAATTAAATACAAGGTTAGCCGGGCGCGGTGGCTCTCACCTGTAATCCCAGCACTTTGGGAAACTGAGGCAGGCAGATCACCTGAGGTCAGGAGTTCGAGACCAGCCTGACCAACATGGAGAAATACAAAAATTAGCTGGGCATCTAAAAATTAGCTGTCTCTACTAAAAATACAAAATTAGCCAGGCATGGTGGCACGTGCCTGTAATCCCAGCAACTTGAAAGGCTGAGGCAGGAGAACTGCTTGAACCCAGGAGGCGGAGGTTGCTGCGAGCCAAGATCATGACATTACACTCCAGTCTGGGCAACAAGAGCACAACTCCGTCTCCAAAAAACAAAAAGCAATATAAATTTATAGAGTCACCCTAAAGATGCAAGGATTGGCAAGTAACGCTTTAGTGAAAGCCATGAGAACCAAAATGGAGTCAGTTAGGCCACCCTACCAAAATGGGATCATAGGCAACAAGAGGAGGGGTTGTCATGCACACGTGCCTAGCACAAAAACGCCACCAAGGACTCTGAAAACCACAGCCTTGCAACAAGAACACTGATCCCTTGAGCCCAGGAATTCAAGGCCAGCCTAGGCAAAAAAAAAAAAAAAAAAAAAAAAAAAAAAAAAAAAGACTGCTTCTGCAATCAATGACAATATCCAGCCTGTCCAGCCTTGAACTGATGCCGCTGTTGTTACTGATCCTTGTAGCCAAGGACAAGTATTTCAAAATAACTTATATAGCTTTCCTCATTTTGCCTTTAAAGAACTCTTGCCTTTCCTTGCCTTCCTGGGCACACCTATGGCCCGGCCGTGGTTCTTCACCACAGTACAGGAATTCCCAAATTGCAATCCCTATCATTCCTTTCCAGATAAACTCATTTCTCTGGATAGCTGCTCTGTTATTTTAGGTTGACACTTTCTAAACTGTATTTTATACGTAGGAGAAAATGGAAACCGATCGAGTCGCTTTATTACGAGTCTAAGGAAACACCTTGTTTTATTTCTAAAATTTTTCTATATGATCTGAAACATCGGAATAGACACCCCTTTAGCAACTAAGATGGGCCCCAGGGTTAAGTAAAGGAACGTTATCTACAGGTCAAGGGTTCAGGGCCTGGCAGGCATGGCAGATTTCTTGAATTCTTTTCTGAGATACCAAGCTGATTTACCACCCAGACCACTAGAGTCCTGATTGGCCAGAGACATTGCCTTACAGACATTCTTTCATGATAAGCCACTGCAGACCTCAGGCCAGTTTCAGCAGTTTACACAGGCAGTGCACAAACAGTGTTTATGTTCTATAGTTCACCTTTTGATATAAAGAGCCAAATTCCACCTTATTTTACTGCTAAAACCCTGCCTCAAAGTGAAGAAGTGATGTATGCTGCATACACGCTTACCTAGTCTGCATGTAGGCTCACCTCGCAAATACGTATAGCTTTGCCCCCAAACCTGCCAAATACGGATGAGGAAGCGATAGGCTTGTGAAACATAAAACCCAACCTGTCCTTCTCTTCCAAGAGAGAGCACCTTCAATGCACACTGGAGACTGTCTCTTCCATGCTTACAAATCACTACTGCCAATAAAGCTGTCCTTTCTCTTATTTAGCCATCCTGCTGGTCTTTTGGACAACAAGTATTAGAGCTTTAAAAACACAAAAAGGAACCAGGGCACCAAAATCAATAACAGGAGGGTTTTTTTGTTTTTCATTTTGAGACAGAGTTTCACTCTTGTTGCCCAGGCTGGAGTGCAATGGCACGATCTCAGCTCACCGTAGCCTCTGCCTCTCAGGTTCAAGCGATTCTCCTGCCTCAGCCTCCCAAGTAGCTGGCATCATAGGCATGTGCCACCACACCTAGCAATTTTTTTTTTTTTGTATTTTTAGTAGAGATGGGGTTTCTCTATGTTGGTCAGGCTGGTCTCGAACCCCCAATCTCAGGTGATCCGCCTGCCTTGGCCTCCCAAAGTGCTGGGATTATAGGTGTAAGCCATCACACCCGGCCAACAGGAGTTTAATAAATAATGTAAGAGGTCAACTTCAGTTCCCTATAATAACAGGAGTTTTAACAAGGGAAATGGAACTAAGATAATACGATGGGAAAATGAGGATGGGCATGGTGGCTCACACTTGTAATCTCAGTATTTTACGAGGCAGGCTGATCATGAGGTCAAGAGATCAAGATCATCCTGGCCAACATGGTGAAAACCCATCTCTACTAAAAATACAAAAATTAGGCCTGGTGGTGACCACCTGTAGTCCCAGGTACTCGGGAGGCTAAGACAAGAGAATCGCTTG